GCGTGTCAATGAGAAACATGGCGGAATCGATGGATGCAACGTCTGTAGTTGAGGGTAACATTTTATTTAAATTTATAGTTTAGTTGTCCTATAACGATTGCCGAAGTAAAATATAAATCACAATACTTATAAGTATTAAGCAGTGACATTGTCAGGCTTTTTATTTACAAAACATAAGCTTTTTGAATGTGGCAGGATTGTAATGTAATAAGTTTTTATGCGATACAGATTAAAGTGGCTTCATAAATTACTTTTTAAAAATATTAAAAACGCAAAACACACCTGATGCGAATTCTTTGCTCTTCATTTTCTATAAGCAGAGTTAACAGACCCTGTTGTATTTTCTTATCTTGTATAAGAAGGTATCTTGTGCCGACTAAACCGAGTTCAACGCTGCTGATATGGAGCCAGAATGATCTCAATAATAATGCACGCAAAAGACGCGATGCACACATGCGTAACCCAATTCACATGCATGAGAAATAATTCACGTGCACGAAAAAAATATATATATATTCACAAAAACCAATTCACATGCAAAAAATAAGAATATATATTCATAAAATACGTTTCACAAATGCAAAACACAATTCACAGATGTACAACATTTTTGAATGTTAAAAATTCACGAGTTTATCATGGGCTGTGAATGTGAATCGCCTTGGATTTGTGTGTGAATTTTGAGACCTTCCTGGCAGGAGATATATCCAGCTGCAGACCCGCAGCGCCAGCAGTATCAGAACGGCAGCCACAGAACCGGAAGTGAGGGGCGGAGTTATTGACAACGAGAGAGCACGGTGAGTATTCTGTAATGTTTTTGCTATCATATGTTTGATATTTATCGTATATATTACGTTAAGCATTTATCTGCTAAGTACTTAATGTGTGCTTGGCTTTATTATCTTATATTGAAACTTGAATTTGTTGTCATACTTTATAGTATATAATTTTTTCTGTGGCTGTTTCGATGAATTCTCGGATGCATGCTGTAAATGGGCCTTGTGGTGAAGTTTTGAAGACGTTTATTATTCATAAAAATAAATCGTTTGCTTTAATTCCCTCTGTTATATTCATTGTTTGTGTTTTAATATTACCTTGAGTTTAGTTATTTTAATCCCATTTGTCATCATTGAGATAATTGTGTGTGTCTTCATCTCTTGTAGAGACATGTAAGGATTCAGAGAGGTGACGCATTACCTGAGCCGCAGCAGTGCAACAAGTGTTACAGCAATTACCAGCAATGTTCTGCTTGACCAGCATGTTTAAGCCAGCCAAACTGGTCAAATGAATAAGTCATCTTCAAATCCACTTCATCATGCAGTTGTCTGTGGAGGTATGAATATCGTGAGTTGTTTGTTTAATATGTACTCACAATTTATTATTGCATAATAGTTTAACTGTGTACTTTTTATTTATTTTAGGATATACTATACATTTTTGCAACCAGTTATTGGTGTGATTATTTAGTTGTTAAATAAGGAACAAGGAAGGTTTTTTTGTGCCATTTACAGGGAGAATATTCTTATTTTTTGTTGTTTTCCAGTACATCTTGTCTTGGGAGCACCCTTTGATTTTACATCTGTAAGTAGTTATCAGTTAAAGTAATTGACATTTATGATGTTGTAGCAGTTGATATTTAAAGATTTCTCTATGTTTGTGTCTTCCAGTGTGGCATTCCAATCATACGGAGATGGTGGACTCCAGGTGGTTTTCTCTGAAAGGTACTGGACATTTCCTCCAGCACACCATTACATTTGCACCCCCTTCTGACCAATTTGAAATGAACAAAGATACATGTATATTACAGTGCAGAAACCCTACAAGATGCCCTTCCAATTGGATAACAGGCTACGCTTGTGAGGTATGTCTCAAATCTATATATATCTATCTATCTATATACACACATTAATAAGAAATATTAAAGTTAAATTTTCCTTTAATATTCTGTAATGAAGGAGATCCCAGTAATCTCACAGAAGTTGTGAAATGGCTCCATTAAACAGACATCTGCTCAGGGGGCCAGTGGAAGAGCCTCTTTTCCTTATAATGGAGGAAGAGGACAAGGAAAAGGCCCTCAACAAATATGAAGTGTCCTTCATATTTCATCTTGTGTTCAGGGGAGTCATTTTTGTAGGATTGTCATAACAAAATGGGCCTAAGAGTGAATTGTTCAGTTGATACATTTTAATTTGAATTCATGCAAGATTGTCACGGCAAAATGTGCCCAAGAGTGAATCGTTCATTTTGTAAGTTTTCATGCAGGATTGTCATGACAAAATGGGCCTAATAGTGAATTGTTCATTTTATAAACTTCAATTTAATTAGAAAAAAAAACATTTTGATTGTTACTTTTAAAATTATGCTGCTGTTTGTGTGTGTGTTTTATTGAAATGTTTTAGTTTTCATATATAAAAATGTATGATGCACGTGTTCTTGACTTTGGAGTAAACATTTATTTTGAATCTTGTGATTAAAGTATATTTCATATAAAATCCCCAGAAGTTTCAAACATTATTTTTAATATCACAAACAAAGGCTAAAGACTCTAAAGGAGACACTACACCAGCCATTCAATGTAACTGAGGTTTAAATACTGGTGAACCTAGCACAGCGGCAAACTGGTATCAAGCCAGTCTCAGACCTATGCGAGAGACATATATTCAACTGTGCTACGTTTGTACTCCATAATTGTCATTTATTTTGAATCTTGTGATTAAAGTATATTTCATATAAAATCCCCAGAAGTTTCAAACATTATTTTTAATATCACAAACAGGAAATTACTCGCATAATACAATGAAACGAATAACTGTATAGGTCTACACCTAAATTACACAAGATTAATGTTTATAAAATGCTTAATATGTCATTATAAAATGCATACATGCATAAAGTATGACATATCGTGTGTACTAAAAGCAAATTACCCCTTAAAAACCCTAAAGCTCCTCCCCTCACTTCCGGTTCTGTGGCTGTGGTTCTGAAACTGCTGGTGCTGCGGGTCTGCAGCTGGATACTATTGGCCTGGCAGCGAACTACTATCAGCGGGACACTCGTACTCTTTAGCCAATCAGATTTGACCCTGTATGTCGACCAATCATAACCCACTGTGGGCGTATTAATCGCGTCCCCTGGGCGTGCCTACCTGGATGCTGACATCATCAGAGCGAGACCACCGTTCAAGTTATGATATAGCCAAGTAAAGGTTTATCGTTTTATTTGTGCATGTTTACTTAAAACTTCGGGGTCCTGTTATAAACGAAACAAAACAAAACGTAGTAATGATGCATGACTTAAAAAGCTGTTGAAACTGTCAAAAAGTGTAAGACAAAGGCTGCTATGAATACAGATAGTGTTCCTAAAAATGCAGCTGTCTTGTGTTAGCCACAATGTCTGGCCAAAACGAAGAAAGGGATTATACTCATTGCCCTGTTTTTGTTCACTAACACTGGGTGGCCAATGTCCAGTCTAGCTCCCACTTAGCACTGACCCTGCCCTCATAACCATAGCTTTATAATGATGTATAGACCTCATGAGAACTCAGTGTATGAACAACGGGATGTTTGTACTTACCATTTGTGCAACAGGATGCAGTGTTCAGTTAATACACACTAATGCACTAACACTTTGGCACAACATCTGGTTACTTATACATGATCAGCCTCACAATTCTGAAATAAATAGTATCTGCAGGCTGCAGCATTAACAAACTTAAATGAAATGTACACAGTCTCCAATGTGTGCATGTTATCACACTGACATCACTTGAATAAGAGCCATCACAGGATTTTACACACAAGACAAGCTCTGCTGTGACAGCTCTTTCATATTCTATAGACCTCATGAGAACTCAGTGTATGAACAACGGGATGTTTGTACTTACCATTTGTGCAACAGGATGCAGTGTTCAGTTAATACACACTAATGCACTAACACTTTGGCACAACATCTGGATGACAGTTACAGACTTCTTCATTCACATTAATCTTTATCTCTTTCATGAGTTCTGTTTCTGAATCGAATGTCTTAATGTGGTATGGTATCCACGTGGAAAATGATTATTTATTAAATAAACATAAGAATTAATCAATATTAAATCATAATACTCTAAACAGCAGCCTCTGGCTTACATTATTCACATTTTTGAGTGTCTAAACGACCGATTTAACTTCCAAGTTTTAAGTAAACATGCACAAATAAAACGATAAATCTGTACTTGGCTAGTTAACTGAAATAAAACGACCAACTGCACTTTTTTATTGTATTTTTTTATTGAACAGTATCAATTTACACACTCAAATGGGGAACAATAAAATGCATATGACAAAATATACACTTTACCAATCACATCTCCATCATATATAAATGTCCATGTGTGTATGTATATATATATCTCTACATACAATAACAATAAACAAAACAAACATTCTTTAAACTATCAACTGCACTTATCTCTGCTAAATCATAACTTGAACGGTGGTCTCGCGCTGATGACGTCAGCATCCAGGTAGGCACGCCCAGGGCACGCGATTAATACGCCCACAGTGGGTTATGATTGGTCGACAGACATGGTCAAATCTGATTGGCTAAAGAGTACGAGTGTCCCGCTGGCAGTAGTTCGCTGCCAGGAAGGTCTCAAACAAATCACACACAAATCCAAGGCGATTCACATTCACAGCCCATGATAAACTCGTGAATTTTTAACATTCAAAAATGTTGTACACATTTGTACATCTGTGAATTGTGTTTTGCATTTGTGAAACGTATTTTATGAATATATATTCTTATTTTGTGCATGTGAATTGGTTTTTGTGAATATATATTTTTTTTCGTGCATGTGAATTATTTCTCATGCACGTGAATTGGGTTATGCATGTGTGCATGCGTCTTTTGCGTGAATTATTATTGAGATCATTCTGGCTCCATACTCCTGAAGTCCCAGGAGAACTTGAACGCAGCAATAGTCCGCGTGGCTGTCTTCGTGAGGAAGATGCAACCTGATTGGTCCCCATCTCTGAAGCCCATCCCTACCCCTAACAAGACCTTAATCAAGGTTATAGACGCCATATTGAATTTAGCGAGGATGAAAACAAGGCTGTGAGGGATAATGGCACGTAGGCCTACTTTATAAAGGTCCTTTCACAGCTTATTTACAATATATATATTTTTTCTAATGTTTTATTTATTTGTTTATAAGCTAAACAATTGGCTATTTATCCCTCCCTGCCCCGTTTTCATCACTGTTGAACAACCTGCATGGTGGGATATTTTCGTAAATAAAATGATCCTGCTAGATGAATTGCATGAATACGTGTCTGTTCATCACAGTGAGCACTGTATCATCTCAGTGAGCTTTTTATGAGGTTTTATGCGCAGTAAGGCTGAGCTTTTTATGATGTTTTATGCACAGTAAGGCTAATTTAATGCTTTCCGCCGTTTCAGATGAGAAACTTATGGGAAAATGCTTAAAAACGCTAGTGTAGACGGGGAGTGTTTTGAAACGAAAATGACATTTTCAAATGTATCCGGATTAATGTAGCTAGACATAGCTAGGTGCAACCCTGAAGTCTTTGATGACATGGTGTTTTACCGAAAAACCAGGTAGAGAGGAAGCAGAGTGGGAAATAATGGATATATTTTCAAAATTTCAGTAATCCACCAATAGGAATAAGGGAAGACACAAAGCAACCAATAGCATTGCTGAATGGGTTGAGATGTGGACCGCCACTAACCTGCCACACATGACTATAACAGGTGTTTTCCAAATAAAAGCCAAATGTTAACCATAGGTTGACATATTCCATGGTGTCCCATAGCCAAGCCACATATGGCTCTCAGTCGTGTGCTGTCATCTGGACCTCAAAACAATACCTCAAAACAAATTGTCATCCAAAAGAAAATTCCCTCCAATTCTAAAGGCATGGCAAAACGTATATGGTGAAAATGTGGCCCATATGTGCCCAGCCATGCCATACCTTGGCCAAATGTGACAGCTATCAACCACATTTGGCCCAAACGTTCAAAATGATCATTGTTAGATCTGTAATAGATTAATATTGTCAAATAATTTTGCATAGTTTTAAATTGTGGCTTTTTACTTTACTTTAAAAAAAAACTTTTTATTGGCATTATTTAATTAATTAATAATTGTTTTATTTAATTATTAATTATAATTTATAATAAATCATTTAGAGTAGCTACACTCAAAACAGCTCATCACTGAGGCAGTACCCTTAAAGGAATACATTTGTACTGTGCCTTATTTACTCCTAAAAGGTTCGTAGTAGGGCCTTAAGGGTAGGCTACATATTATCACTCCAATTTTATACTGCAAAGGTGGCACGAAAGTGCTTCTGAAGCTGCATTTAGGTGTCTTTAAACTGACTCTTTAATGCTGCTCAGAGGTGGTTTAAGTGCATTTCCACAGCAATTACAAATGTGCAATTTGAAGTAGGGCTGAGCAGGCATAATTTAGCCTGGCTTTGATTTTGGTGTCTTCACACTGAATTTTGAGCAGGTACAGAGCAGCCCTAACGCAGCTGTGTAAAGATAATATGCAACTTTTAGGGTATATAAGGTACAAAGTTGTCCCTTTAAGGGTACTGCCCCACTGACAAGCTCTTTTTATAACAGGATATGACAGTTTATCACAGTATTATGAATATTTCTGTAGATTTAATCTCTGAGCACACAGGCATGTATGCAGACATTTATGCATACAGGGAAAATGACAAGCAAGGGCATGTTTCAGATGACGATGTGTCATTATAGGTTCACAAGTAAATCCAAACACTCACTTTCCTTCATGTTCTCCAGCAAGATCATTTTTTTGCTGCCCTTTCACATATTTATTCTGATTTACTTCCACCATTGGTGGCAGTGGTGTTTTCATCAAACCAATTAAAGATTGAGTCAGGACGTACGTGGTATCGGTGATAGTTCTGGATGTCTGGTTTATTTTAATTTTAAGATTAAGCAAAAACATGCCTTTCTCACGAAGTTTTTGAACCCATCTATCTTTTCCTGTCAGTCTTTTTCCTTTCCTTTTTGTACAAAGTAACGATGGGATCTGCCACGTTATAATGCCCTTTGATTTCTATTTGTCCTGTTCTTTCTTAGCTCGTTTTTAACGTATGCAGTCCACTTGTCTCTCATTTCTTGATTTGAGTCAATAAAGTATCACAATTACCCATGAAAACACAAAACCTTTCATTATTCCTTTAATATAAAAACTATTATTTTCTCATTATTTCTTTAGAAACTTTAATATCACTTGTATAAAAAGTGATATAAAAATTACAATAAGTTACACTTTGAAAACAGAAAATATTTCAAATGTAAATACCAAAAGCACTGTGTGGTGAATTACCACAACCATAACATTATACCAAAACCAGCATTCTTGAGGATAAAAACCAAAGTGAAAGCACCCGGCTGTTCTTGAAATGCTGTAAACCCAAAGCCTGGTGGACAAAGAGGAAGGACAGCGTTTGCGCAACGGTGTATATTTAACGAATACATTTGAAAAGCCTGGGCTCTGCAGGGCTTATGGTCTAATAACAGAGGAATGTTTACAAGTATGGAAAGTTATTGTGGAACAGTCACGTGGACTCTGAACTGACCTCGGCAGTTATTGCTTATGTAAGCTTTGCAGTATGAAAATGAAAAGCTGGTGGTCACTGAACCAAAAGTCTTGTAAGTAACAGACTCAATGTCCATTCAAGGAGTTGTTGTATCAAATATATAAATATGCTGAGTATATGCAAACCTGATTGTGAAAATAAATCACATTAAATAACCTTCATTTGAATGCTAAAATGACAATGCACATAAAAACACAATACAAACTATAGTGTCCAGTCCTAAAATGACAGCAATGAATGTTAGGATTTAAGAACAGAGTTATTAATTGTCAGTCATAAATCATCAAGTCTAATGTTAAAGTGAAATGTGAATTCTGTTACTGTTGAGATGCTGTAAGTCCATAAAGCAGCATTCTGCATCACAGTTGTAATCATAAGTCTTGACCAATCACAGAAGTCCGTTATTGAGATGGTCATGCAAACGAGGCTACTTCCATGAGTATCTGTATTGCCATTGAAACGCAAGGCACCTGAGCGATGACATAGGCGAATGAACGTGTCGGTGCTTTGAGTGCCAACAAGTATGCGATGCTGTGTAGAACTCGACCCAGGAAAAAGACCAGAAAATGAAGTCGTGCAACTGCATACGAGGGTCCTGTCATGGAGTAGACGGCTCCGAGAAATAAAAAGGGTAAAATGTTTTCCATGTCATTGACGTGTGCTCTGGAATAAAGAAAAAACACACACACAGTTCAAAAATTAATGCAGGTAAACCACAATTAAAAATGTATATGATAGTGTAGAGGAAAGAGAAGGAAAACTGCTCAAAGCTGTTGAAAACAAATAGGATGTGTATTTGGTAATGTATAGCAAACAAACAATTTTGTTGCCATTTATGAATGATGATGTTTAGCATAGCATGATCATGATTGTTTAGACATAGCTCATGGTGAGTAAGTTCTTTTCCAGTTTTGACCACGCATCCTCTTCTCCATATACACTACATCACTGGGTCCCATCATACAGGCACATGGCTTCTCCTACCATTGCTATGCTGATAACACACAGCTCTATCACTCATTTGAACCGGATCTCAGGCTGCCTGGAGGACATCTCGGCATGGATGAAAGAACATCACCTACAGCTCAACCTGGTGAAGACTGAGCTTCTTGTCTTCCCTGCTACTCCAACTCTACAGCATGATAGATAGCATGATCATCCAGCTAGGTTATTCTACAATTACCCCACCAACTTCACACATTGTAAAGACTGCTCAATCTTGCAGGTTTGCATTGCACAACATCAGAAAGATCAGGCCCTTTCAAACGGAGCATGCTGCACAACTTCTTGTCCAGGCCCTTGTCATTTCTAGGCTGGACTACTGCAATGCTCTTCTGGCTGGACTTCCATCAAGCACAATCAAACCTCTACAAATGATTCAGAATGCAGCGGCACGAATGGTCTTCAATGAGCCCAAAAGAGCCCATGTTACACCTCTCTTTATCTCCTTGCACTGGCTACCGGTTGCAGCTCATATCAAGTTGAAGACATTGATGCTTGCATATAGAACAGCCACAGGCTCAGCACCCGCCTACTTCCACTCACTACTACGAATTTACATCCCCTTCAGAAGTCTGAGATCCGCTAGTGAGCGACGCCTCGTGGTACCATCACAGAGAGGCTCAAAATCACTTTCCAGAACATTCTCGTTCACTATTCCTGGCTGGTGGAATGATCTTCCCACCCCTATCCGGAATGCTGAATCCCTGACAATTTTCAAGCGACAGCTGAAAACTCATCTCTTTCGACGCTACTTGACTTCATCCTAAAATTAAAAAAAAAAAACTTTGTCTTTCTCTTTATTTATTCCTTCCCTTTCTAGCTTGTACTTATTTGAACAAATGCCTGAAACTTGGTATTACGAGCACTTCCTGTGTCTGTTTGCCTCTTTAAGAAGAATCGCTTTATGTATTCCCCAATTGTTTCCCCAGTTGCTTTGGACAAAAGCGTCTGCAAAATGACTAAATGTAAATGTAAATCCCTCACCTATTTCCACATTGTTCTTTGAGCCTTTCTTTTGACTACTTCTAGGTAATGTTATACTCTAAAAACTGTATTTGATTCAATGGTCCTTTGAGGTATTTTGAATGTTCCAGACTGTGGATATACATATGGAAAACTGCTTTTCTCAGAACCAAGGAGCTGAGGAATGTACACTTTGATCAGGACTTCAGCTGTAAACTGTCTGGCTCTGTCTAATGGCAGCATGCCTGGACAGTAAACGTTGCCAACATCACACGATCTTGCAATATAAATTGACTTTCACTCTGAATCACTCTCACAGTGCGCCATGGCAGTGGCTGTCTCATGAACAAATCACAGCAATAGGAAGCTGTAAGTACTTCCTGTAGCTACCCACTCAAAATAAGTGAATCTACTATGCTGTCATTCATATCACCACATTATGGTCAAATTTTCCTGTATTAACTCAACACGTATAGCTACATAGCAGTACTTGGTCATCATTGTGAAATCCTGCATTACACAGGTTCTTCCTCATCTCTTTATCGCAACAAGGGCGTTCCATTACAAGCCATTTCCTGCTGGTATTCAATTTTCAAAGAGGAAATAACTTTCACTTATGTGTTAATTACAACTTTCATTAGAAAATATTCTAGCTTTAGATCCTGATATAAAATCTGATTGTATGCAACAGGCTTAAAGAGATCATAAAATAGATGATATGCACCACTGTGACCACACATCTTTTCAATTATTAATCTGTTGCTTGGCAGCTAAATAATATTAATAATTATTTTAATAAAACATAATAATAAAGATTATGCTGATTTATTATAATGTTAATATAAGATAATGATCTTTGAAATGTCTTGTATATTTACTTTTTTTCCTTCTGTAAGTGCCTCAAAAGATGAAGAATGTGTCTGTTTGTCATTGAAATCATTTTTGTTGACATGTCAACGTAAAGTTGTTGATCCAAACAAGAACTTTTAACCATTAGTTCTATTTAACGCCGTCTTCCTGTTTCTGTTCACGTGTAGATATTTGTTAGCCACAGGGTTGTAGTGAAATACCTTTGTGAATGCACTGCAATTAAGGTCAAATCACGGTCTTGTCAGGACTTGCTGCTGCTAACCTACCGTATCTTACTAATCTGGCAGCCACAAACTACCCTTCTCAGGTCCTCAAGATCACATCAGTGAATACCTTTGATTTATTGATTTAATTGATTTCTCCGTACATTTCTGCCATTTGTACATTAACTGACAGTTGCCACTGATAAGCTACAACTAAATATATTGTAGAAACGTAATTTTCTGTAAAGCTGCTTTGCAACGATTTGTATCGTGAAAAGCGTTATACAAATAAACTTGAATTTATTTACAGGAAACGTGAATTTCCAGTGCCACTATATAAATTCAGTAATTTCAGAGCAGTCTACTGAAATAACATCTTCATTGTTTTCACATTGTGCAGATGTAGAGTGGAGTGGGCTGTGACTGGGCAGAGCAGGCAAGTTTTCTAAAGATAAGTTCGAAACCGCCAAACAAAAACATGCAGCACACTGCAGCTTAAAGTAATGAATGTTTCCCTACAGGCAGCCAATGATTGTTTTAAAGTGTGTAGTCTCATAATACATCGTCTCTCTTTCTCTCATGCTCTCACATACACAAATGCAGGTACTGAGAAAGGTCTACTGTGGAAACACATTCGAGCTAACTGGCATGGAGAATGCATACCTATTTTAATTTTGACTAAAAATAATAAAAATGGGGAAATAAAGATATCTTCGCTAGTCTCATGTGGACTAATCATGCTTCCTACTTGTAGACCTGTGAACTTTCACACACATCTGTCATACCAGTATTCTTTTTCTGAAAATGTCGATAGTGCTAAAAAATAACTAAAGGAAACCTGCCAGACATCCTGCAGTTTTTTTCTCTTTCAACTAAATGGGTTCACTGGGAATGAGACTGAAGCTTAACTTTCCCAATAATAGACACGCAAAGTTTTTAACACTAATTTAAAAACATTCCCCAGTTAGAAAATAAAACCATGTGAACAGAAAAATGAAAACAAGTTTTTGAAGATGAATGGAAAACATCTAAATGGAAATAGTGGAAAATATACAATCTTCAAAGTAAAAAAAAAAAAAAAAAATCTGATTATATTTATAAAAAATGCCAGAAATTCACTGAACAAAATTACAGTGACAGCATACCAAAACTAATACATAGGTATGTTACATTAAAATGTAACAAATAAAAAAACAAATATTTCTCGCAGGAACTTCCTTTTTCAATATGTATCTTAATGTCTTGATCAAATTGATATTTGTATAGTGTTGAAAGGTTACATTTAATTAATGTATTATATTTGATATTGTTTTATGCTATTGTTGGTAAAGCTGTTTCATTTGTATTGCTGATGTTAATTTATTAATAGCGGCATACATGTAACATGGCAAAAAAATGCATTCGTTAGCATTTTTTTAGCCTAGGCTATACCAATGTTTTGCTCAAATTAGTTGCATTACAGAATCAAATCACAAGTGTGTGTTCTTGTGTTTACCTCCTACAGCGTTCCACATATGGATCAGTTCGGCAGAACTGCACACCTCCGTGTCTATCGGCGTCCTCTGGATTAGCAAACGCCTGTCAAATACATGAATCTGTTTTAGAGCTCATACATCTCATCTAGATGTCACGTCATTCTATAAAAACACATCTCTGACCTACTTTAATTTCTGAAGTTAATCCAGACAGCTGCAGTATGTATGCAGATTTCTATTCAAAAGAAAACACTCCACACGCTCGACGCGACGAGAAACTCCTCCATTATAAATACGGCACGAGAAGCAGCGATTCTCTCGCGTCAGTGTATTTGATACAGTAGCATGAAAACTATTTTAATAAGTAGCATATGAATAAAAAGTTCCAGAACTTACCCTTTTCCGAAGTCTCACTTGGCCCGTGAAGATGGCAATTATGTACATCTTTAAGATTAGAAGCGTGCTGTAGAAGATGAAGCACAACAGTACATCGCTCCCGAGCATCTTGACTTCGACAGACAGAGTCTGTGTGTGTGTGTGTGTGTATACGCTATGAAGAAGTCGTTTTTGGAGTAGGTTTTATATGCGAACCCCAGACCGTTTAGCCCAACCTCACTACCTGGAAAAAACTTTCACTGAAGTGCATACTTCCGTTTTTCCCCCCTGCCCGTGACACACTGTCCCATATGAGGATAGGGCAAGACAACTGGAAAACTCCTACATTCACTTTAATAGCAGAACTTTCTCTAAATTTCAATTGGAATACAATTTTGAACAGCAGAATGAATTACCTCTCATATTTTTTTTATGTTTGGGTATTCCGGAGTCTCACTGTTTATGCTGGAAAGTGTAGGCTAGCTTTAGCTATAGGCTATTAATAATTTTTAATAGATAGTCATTTTGAAAAACACAATGTAGAAAAAATATTATTGAAGAAATCATAATAAACAACTAATGTTTATTCACTTTGTAGGCCTATGTCCGAGGTCTTTGAGACTCCAATCAAAAGTAGGCTAATGTAACATTTTTACAGAACAGTGTGATAACAAGCTGACATTGCCAACAATCAGTTCTTACTAAGAAAAGCCACAAAATACCAATCTGTTACTTCATTGTTAAGGAAATCATTGGAAAAGTAGCGTAGTAGAATACAAAAATGTACATGTTCTGTGAGTTCTATAAAAGGCTGTAGGGTTCTTTGTCAATACAGTTGAGGTCAAAAGTTTCAGAATCTGCAAAATGTTAATTATTTTATCAAAATAAGAGGGATCATACAAAATGAATGTTATTGTTTATTTAGTACTGACCTGAATCAGGACAACTGAGGGAGTCATAACTATTACAGAAGGTCCAAATGCTTCAAATGGGAGTGAGAACTTTTGAACAGAATGGAGATGTGTACATTTATTTTGCCTAAATATATATATTTTTTTCATTTAGTACTGCCTTTTAGAGGCTATACAGAAGATAGTTAGATGTTTCCCAGAAGACAAAATAAGTTAAATTTACCCTGATTTTTAAATTCCATATTTCAAATATTTTTTTATAAATTCAACTATTATTTCCTCTTGTGGACTATATGTAAACATATTTTATCTGAAATATCTTATTCAGGTCAGTACTAAATAAACAATAACATGCATTTTGTGTGATCCCTCTTATATTGGTAAAATAATTAACATTTTGCAGATTCTGAAACTTTTGATTACAGTTTGACCTCAACTGTATATGCTTTTTTTTACGATACAATTACAAGTCTATGGCCAAGAACAAGTGATTGATTGGTTACCAACATTGGTAACACTTTACTTAAAGCATTTATGTATAATGCATTATTTAAGTAGTTTTAATGCATTAATTCTACCTTAATGCACCTTATAATGCATTGTACAATCTTATGAATACGTGTAACCACAGTTAATACATTATAACACTTGTCAATTCATTGTTACACTATGCATTTTAAATTCAGTTATAATTATTAACGACAAGATGTAATGTATTACAATGCAGATTATGAATAATTAGCATTATACATAAAGGCTTTAAATAAAGTGTTACCCCAACATTTTTTAGAATATCTTCTGTTATGTTCTGCAGAAGAAAGAGAAAGCCATAAAGGTTTGAAACATGACGATGAGTAAATTATAACAGTTATTTCATTTTTCGGTGAACTATCACTTTAAATGGACCGTTTAGCCCAACCTCACTACCTGGAAAAAACTTTCACTGAAGTGCATACTTCCGTTTTTCCCCCCTGCCCGTGACACACTGTCCCATATGAGGATAGGGCAAGACAACTGGAAAACTCCTACATTCACTTTAATAGCAGAACTTTCTCTAAATTTCAATTGGAATACAATTTTGAACAGCAGAATGAATTACCTCTCATATTTTTTTTTATGTTTGGGTATTCCGGAGTCTCACTGTTTATGCTGGAAAGTGTAGGCTAGCTTTAGCTATAGGCTATTAATAATTTTTAATAGATAGTCATTTTGAAAAACACATTGTAGAAAAAATATTATTGAAGAAATCATAATAAACAACTAATGTTTATTCACTTTGTAGGCCTATGTCCGAGGTCTTTGAGACTCCAATCAAAAGTAGGCTAATGTAACATTTTTACAGAACAGTGTGATAACAAGCTGACATTGCCAACAATCAGTTCTTACTAAGAAAAGCCACAAAATACCAATCTGTTACTTCATTGTTAAGGAAATCATTGGAAAAGTAGCGTAGTAGAATACAAAAATGTACATGTTCTGTGAGTTCTATAAAAGGCTGTAGGGTTCTTTGTCAATACAGTTGAGGTCAAAAGTTTCAGAATCTGCAAAATGTTAATTATTTTATCAAAATAAGAGGGATCATACAAAATGAATGTTATTGTTTATTTAGTACTGACCTGAATCAGGACAACTGAGGGAGTCATAACTATTACAGAAGGTCCAAATGCTTCAAATGGGAGTGAGAACTTTTGAACAGAATGGAGATGTGTACATTTATTTTGCCTAAATATATATATATTTTTCATTTAGTACTGCCTTTTAGAGGCTATACAGAAGATAGTTAGATGTTTCCCAGAAGACAAAATAAGTTAAATTTACCCTGATTTTTAAATTCCATATTTCAAATATTTTTTTATAAATTCAACTATTATTTCCTCTTGTGGACTATATGTAAACATATTTTATCTGAAATATCTTATTCAGGTCAGTACTAAATAAACAATAACATGCATTTTGTGTGATCCCTCTTATATTGGTAAAATAATTAACATTTTGCAGATTCTGAAACTTTTGATTACAGTTTGACCTCAACTGTATATGCTTTTTTTTACGATACAATTACAAGTCTATGGCCAAGAACAAGTGATTGATTGGTTACCAACATTGGTAACACTTTACTTAAAGCATTTATGTATAATGCATTATTTAAGTAGTTTTAATGCATTAATTCTACCTTAATGCACCTTATAATGCATTGTACAATCTTATGAATACGTGTAACCACAGTTAATACATTATAACACTTGTCAATTCATTGTTACACTATGCATTTTAAATTCAGTTATAATTATTAACGACAAGATGTAATGTATTACAATGCAGATTATGAATAATTAGCATTATACATAAAGGCTTTAAATAAAGTGTTACCCCAACATTTTTTAGAATATCTTCTGTTATGTTCTGCAGAAGAAAGAGAAAGCCATAAAGGTTTGAAACATGACGATGAGTAAATTATAACAGTTATTTCATTTTTCGGTGAACTATCACTTTAAATGCAGCAACACAGCAAGCAAGTAATTACTATTAAACCCTTTTGATAAGACTCTATAATGGCTTTAGCAATATGCGTAATCAGATCTTTAAAACATTTTCTTGGAGGATAAATAGATCAATAGGAAAAACGCTCACGAGCCACGTATATAAATATACCTTCTTTTTTTAATATATATACAGTGGGGAAAAAAAGTATTTAGTCAGCCACCAATTGTTCAACAGCATCATTATATCACAATGTTCATTTGGAAGGTTTTTGTTCCTCCCGGGAGAAACCATTAAGCTTTATTTGTAGTATTAACATTCCAATTTCCAAACCAATGTTCTTTTATCCAGAATGATAAAAGAAAAGGTGATTCTAGACGAATGAAGTTCCAATTTCAGCATCCATATTTCAGCTATGTTATAATAGACACGTTGCTTTCCCTGACAATAATGGGATTGTTGCTCAAATTGAGCAGGAACTGAACTGTGGAACATTGTGGATGAGAGCACATCCCCTTTCCACACAGTCAAGACAAAGACCTCATTAGTTTAATTTGGGCAGGCTAAGCAGATTTCACTGTCACACTGTCACATTTTGAGGGAGCCAAAAAGAATGGCAATATTTGGCACAAGATGCGAGTAACCCGCAAAAGTCTGAAACCACAACAAGTGTCAACAGTCTATTCCGATATAGTCCGAGGAGGAGGACGAGCTTGTGCTTGTGATATCGCAACAGTCCTCCGCATCCGAGAAAGAAGAAGTATAGTGGAGGCCTGAGAGTCTGTGGTAGTCCTGCTGAGTGACCTCTGGCAAATGAGACATGTCCATTGATGTCTGGCCTCTTCGTGAGCTACGTGACACACTCCACATATCAATCAACTGTGTGCAAATGGCACAACCCATTGCTGTATGTTATATCCAAAATGTGGTCAGATGCTAATTGCTGTCTTGAACAGAAGACATCTCCCTATATGACATCACCTTTTAAAAGGTACACACTGAAACATATATCTGCAGTGTAGAGGCAATTACTCATTCAAGCACTGGCTGTCACATAATAGTGATTAACAGCAGGTTGGACTTGTCATACGTTTGGATGCATCGTATGATGGCAAACTGTGAGCATGTCTGTGTGAAAAGAGCTATATGGAAAGAAAAGAGAGCGTGAGAAAGCAACTGTGTCTAAGTAGGTCTTCCCTAGGAATGCTTTGTTCAAACCCTCGCCTGGAGGTAGTGACAATTATAAGGTGGAGTACAAGATGAAAACTAAAAAGGATGCATTGAGACAAGAAAAGACAGAAGAACTATGAGTCAAATAATTGTAGCGTGTGCACTGCAGACCACAGAGTTTAGGACTAGACTCACATTACTTTATGAACATATAGAATATCAAAAGCTAATGCAGTCCCTATTTTGCCATAGTCAAAGATCAGTGAAGCTGTATTCTCCCACCCTGTGAAGCTTGGGTGTGACTCTGATCATTGTCGCTATTGTTGCTAAAGTCTCTGTGGTGTTTTCAGTCCATGCACATGGACCATTGTCCAGCCTAGAGAAAGAAACAGAACACATTCAACCGATGGCAACAGAGATAATTTGCATTTCATAACAATTAGCTTTCAACTAAAATTAACATGCATGGCCGTTTACAAGAACTCAAAATAGAACTCCTAGTTATTCAGTCAGATGATGCCGATTATGATACTAAAAGTAAATTTGAATGTACAGTACACAAAATGGATTTGCTAATAACTGTGTTATTAAGTTATTAGTGTTTCTGAAGACCCTCTGTGGTGAAAATAGGGTTTATAACATTGTTTACATATCTGTCTGGTGGTATTAATATGACAAACCTTGTGC